TCGTCTCCAGGCTTTAGGTTATGAAAAGGTACACAATTGGACCTTAAAACCACTGTTGTACCTTCAAGGGTACATTGTTTGTAACTTGATGAATGAAAAATGTACCTGCACAGTACCTTTATTTCTAACAGTGTGATGGACCAGTAAAGCTGGTCCAGAATGAATAACTTACAATGAAAGTTAAAAACGTTTTACCTTCTCTTGTAAAGTCACTTTTATTCGGAGATGCAAGGTTTTACTTACACTAAATGTTTATGTAGGTCATTCAAGTAGATGTCTTTAAATTTGCAGATATATTTATTATGAAATGGGAGGTTTTATTAGTAGTTTAAAAAGAGGATTCCAAAAGAGAAGAATAGAGCCTTAAAAATGTAAGTTCCTAGACTGACTTTGGCATGAACTTGCATGCATTTGTAAGCAGGAAGTTCCATTGTAGTTCTGTAATGAATCAGTGCTTCACTATGGCAGTATTTGGTCCTTCGTCATATCTACTTCTACTTTTGCTTTCTTTTAATTCTACTGAAGTAACATAAATAACTAAGAAATCCACATATAGGAAGTCCGGCTAAAGCTCATAGCTCGCAAAATCTGATTTCCAACTAGACCTATATAAAACATCAAATCAATTGGGAATTCAGGAAAGTGTCCTGAACTCTGAGTTCAACATTAAAATTGTCATGTCAACATACAGTTGTATACAAAAAGTGCAGGGGCGTGTGGTGCCGAAGGTCAAATGATAAGTTTTGTGGGGGCAGGGTGTGTGTGTAAGTGTGGGGGGAGGTGTTGGGGAGCCAATAAAATGTGAATAAAAATTTCAAATTTTATGGTTTTTTTTTTTGCAATATATTAAATGTAGCAAACAAATAGAAGTTGTTCAGGAAAACCTACCATATTAAAATATTTTCTGTGTAGATATTAGAACATTAACAAAACTGACCAGAGGGGCGTTCAAACTTTTGCAAATACACGTCATATAACATATAGATGCTAAATGTGGCCTTTCTTTAAATGGATATGCACGCTCTTCTTTTCTCGTCTCTCTCTCTCTCTCACACACATTTCAGAGAACGGAAACTGCCTGGCACTTATAAATGTCAGACCACATACTACTAAAGGAAATCACACAAACACACTCACACCTTAGCCCATTAACATGTGAACATGCACACACGCATACACACACACACCCACATACGCCCACATACACACACACACACACACACACACACACGCAACCACACACATGCACTTGACCACAAGCTTGCGAACACCATCTTCACAGCGAAATTCATTTATTTTCAGTTTTATTTCTGACAAAGAGGAAAACAAGACAGAAACTAAAAATAAAGTACAAACTGTTAAAACTGTTTAAAATTACAGTATAAATTGTTTATGTTATAAAAATACAAAGCAAAATATTTCATTTATTGCTTATTATACAATCAATTCAGTGGGTCAGTGACAGTGATGTGGACTAATAACGTTTTCAAATGTCAGTCTTACACTTTTGTCATGACAAACCTAACAGACAGTAGTGAGATTTTTGTCAATGATTCTTTATGCAGTGTTTCTAGCTAATGAGTGCGGTTGGTTGAAACTCTTTAAAGGGGCCTACAGTTGTTCTTGTATTTTTCTTCATTTTTTCCCCAAGTCCACTTATGATGTTTGCTTTTAAGTACCAAAAACAGTCATAGTTCATAGAGTACATAATCTCTTTTTATCCTTCAGAATGTAACAGGCTGTTTGTTACTGTGCTTTTAAGACTGATATATGTAAATAACCTCACTGCCCTGTATTGTGCTTCATTCAAAAAGCAGTATTAGCTTGAAACACTCCTTATAACTCCAGCATGAATGCGCTAAACTGTTATATGCTGAATAGGCAGATATATGCAAAATGTCACAAAAACAGGTTATTTTTGCAGCTTAGTATCCATGTAAATGGTATGTTTTGAAACATTAACAAAGTTTATCTACCACAACAAACTCTCTCATCTAAAAAGTAAAGAAGATTCCATTCACCACAGTATGAACTCAGAATTATACAGAACTATTCATAACTAAATTACTATGATGGCTTAATGCTATAAAGTAAAGGCAATGGCAGCATGCTCCCTAAAATAATGCTAAGTTGACCATCACTTGCTCACCTACTTCATTTAGTCCACTTAATTTCATCCTTTAGCTTAAATGTTTATGCACGTCTTCTGCATCCTTAACTGTATACCTGAGATTTTAAATAATATTTCACGATGAAAAGCAGCTCATATGAAAATCTGTCCTTTCAGTAGGTGCCTATAATTTTGACTTATAGCTAAATCAGTTGGCTTTCTTATCAGCCTGAATTAGGGCAAACCTCTGTCTGGGTCCCATCTGGCCCACGTGTACTTGGTTGTCAGATACGGAAGCAAAAAATAAAAAGGCTACAACTGATTAGTGACATGTCAGTTAGTGATAATGTCCAAATGCACATCTCTGCTATGTTCACAAATCTCCATTCAGTTTTTTTTTTTTTTTCAGTGCAGTCTTTGGATTGCCAGCTGAGCAAGATATAAACAGACGTCAAGAGTAACACAAAAAAGAAGTTAACACTTTTTTTTTTAAATGATCTCTTAAAAATGTGCGTTTTGGGGCTCCCGAGTGGCGCAACCGTCTAAGTTGGCTCTATCATCAGGAGATCGCGAGTTCGATCCCTGGTGATGCTACAGCCATCCGTAGCCGGGAGTCCAAGAGAGCACAATTGGCCTCGCTCTCTCTGGGTGGGTAGGATGGCCTCTCCGTCTCCCCCAATCACTCAGCGCGATGCTACTCAGCGCAGGCGTCTGTTAGCTGACGTAACAGATCTGGCGGTTGGCGCTTTCCTCCGAGCGCGTTCAGCTGTCCAATGACGTTGCGTGAGCGGCAGTTCGAAAAGAAGCGGTGGTTGGCTCCACAGGTCTCGGAGGAAGCCTGTGTTAGCCTTCACCCTCCTAGCGTTGATAGCATCGTGTGATTGGGGGAGTCCTAACTAGCGGGTGGAATTGGAGACGACTAAATTGGGGAGAAAATCGGGTATGTGCGTTTTATTACATCAGTGGCTGACGTTTTATAAAACAGTCCACGGTTTTAGAGATTTAGCTACAACAGAACTGCGGAACATGCTGAAAATGTCTTCTATTTGAAATATAGAAATGTCTTTGTTCAACACAGGATTTTATCCCACTTGCAATTTGATTTTGAATGCAATAATCTGTGAAAAATCCACACTCAACGCCCTCCTCTCAGTTTGCTTCATTAGTTTTACTTCATTAGTTCATCTAGACCCAGGTTAATATAACTAACAAGTAATGGAAGCATATACCAACCAATTACATTATACCGTAAAGTGTATAGGCACCTGTTCATCCAACATTTCTTCTGAAATAAAGGGCATTAATAGGGAGTTCTAGCAGTAACAGCCTCTAATCCTCTTGGAAGGCTTTACACTACATGTTGGAACATTAGGTTTTTACATAGAGCTAAAATAGTAGAAGTCATCTTGAACCCTGAATTTTGCCCTTTTTGCCCTTCTAGAAGCCATAAGACAAGTTAAGGTAAGTGTGTGGTGACTAATGCTGATTGTTGGGCTATAAGCTTTAGTGGTGTAATGGCTCTGAAACAAAACCCAAATCCATGGTTTAACAGCCAATATGGTTAAACATTAGCCAGCATTTTTTTGTCTTGCTAGAAGAGCACACTGCATGTTCCATTATATGCAAGCTACTGATGGCACTGCCAACTCTTGCAGCAATGCCAGTTGGCAGAACTTTGTAAAGAATGGGGTAAGGCACATTTCATTGCAATTATGATGGATATCTGGATATCTCAGGTTTTTCCGCTCTTTCTCTATGTAAAATGAGTGATGGTTAGATTTACATTTAATTGCATACATTTTTTTTAAATGTATTGATTGGTACAATTGCTCTGCCTCTTGATTTTTGCATTTTTTATTCCACTTGTTGTTTTGTTCTACTGATGTTTGTCTTTATTACACATTTTGCGCTTTGTTTTACAACAATTTTGGACAAAAGAAGCTTTTAAAAGTAATTTGTTTTAATCTCTTTTTGAAAGGACTTCTGGTTTGTATTTTCACATCTTTAAAAGCTCATAAACTGAGGTTCAAAGTTACATTTTTCCATGCTGAACTGTGATACAAACCGAATCATGGCCCAGAAATCGTGAAACAAACCATGAAAGTTGTGAACCGTTACACCTCTATTAAACTTCCATTACTTGTTAGCTTCACTGGCCTCATAGTTCTAGTCCAAAACTAAAGAAGCAAATTTCACACACCAAACACATCAACACAGTTTTTCTCAAAAACTATTCTTGTAATTCGATTCAAGAAAGATTTCCTGGTTTCACAGTATGAGCCTTTTAAGGACTTCAACATTTCTCCATCCTTGAGATGTAAACAAAGTCATTCAGGGTGATTTGGTGTGAAAAAGTCCAAACTTACTGATTCAAAGTTCTACAGTGGTGGTGATAGGAACCAGGGGTTATAGTCATTTTATTTACTATACAAAATGACCAGGGAACAAACACATGTTTTTTGAGTTGTCATCTGTAATGTTGAGAATGATAAAATTTTGTTCATTTAAAAAAATACATTCTTATTGCTTCATAATACCCTGCATGCATCTCTCAACCATGAATGGTTTCATAAAATATGTTTTAGACTGAAATTTTCTCTCAAAACTTTCGCAAAACACTGTGTCACATCAGACTATCGCTGTTGTCGCAAGAAAACCTCCAAATCTCCAAAATGATAACTTTACAGGAAAAGGACAAAACCTACTTTACTTTTACTGTAAGTTAATGTACCCAGACCTTTTTTCCCCCAAGTCATTTTAGGTCATTTCTTTTAGTCCATTCATCATGAAATTGACATGCAATGTAAAGGGTAACAGGTATTTTCGAATAATGTCAAAAACTGAAAAATGTCAAAAATAGAAATATGAGGTTTTCTTCTGACAACAGTGCTATGTGTTCATAATCATTTCATGCAATAGCTGTCTGTGATGTAGCTTTTAGAGGCATTCAGTGCTTCATACGTCACTACCACTGTGAACAATCCTGACTGTACGTTTTTCTAGAATGATCAAACTTCCCTGAATGACTTTGTTTATATCTTAATGATTTAATACTGAAGAAATTTTGGTGGAATTCCCCCATAAGGATCATTACTCAGTCAGATAGATTTATTGCTGTATTTCTGCATCTCCTTCAGGGTTAAGTAGCCACTGCTGCATGGCTGTACCACCATAGAAGAGGGTCTAACCACAACGCCCTCTGGAGCCTCTGAGGTGTTACTGCTGCCAGCAGCAGCTACTTCAGGATCTTCAGGCCAGGGCGAGAGCTCTGGCGGCTGGGCAAAACTCAGTGGGATGTGGGTAGCAGCTGTGGAGGTGATTTTTTTCGAGCTTTCTGGTAAGGAGAGAACAAACGAGACCAAATGCTGGATGTTGACACCACTGCACTCCTCTTTCCTCCCTTCTTCTTCCTTCTTTTCTTCTTTGCTTTCTTCATCATCCTCCTCTTCTTCTACTCCTCCCATGCCAAAGCCAGAGTCAGGGCTTGAGGGTTCCCCTTCCTGTTGATCTTGACCCTGCAGGCGCTCATAGGAGGATGAGGATTGAAGAGAGACATCGCTGCCCCCTTCAGGCTGGTAGGTGAAGTACACTGAACAGGTCTCTAAGGACACAGATCCTGGCTGGGTTTCGCTGTAGAAGTAGCCCATGTTGGAGAAGCCAGATGATGACTGGCTGTCACCGCTTGTTTGTTGAGAAGAAGGCATGGGATTGTTGTGGAAATGTGCCATTGAGCTGGCCACAGGGTCGTCCCAAACGTCTGAGACCTCCACAGGTGAGATACTACAGTCACATGGCTGAGGAGTGTGGAAGGAGGGGGTGGAGTGCTGAGGGCCCAGCCATTTCTGTGGAGAGACAAGTATCTTAGGTAAATGTGTGACAGATTAACCATTAACACAGAGTTACACAGAATGTCTGATGTGTTCTGCACGCTAAACTGACCACAGAGATATCAGACTTTTCCTCTTGTGGCTATCCATGTTTTTGTGTGCAGATTTTTATCATTTAGGTGGGAAACAAACAAGCACTTCTTAAAGCTATTTAGTAAAAAGCTATTGCTATTATTGCGCATTGTGACAAAGATGAGTTTTCAATTCAATTTCAATTGGAATATAAAATGTACATCAAAAGAAAATCATAACTCATTTTTCTTCTATCCTATGAAATATGTGCTCACAGCAGTATTAGGGAAGGTCTCTGAGCTCGCTGAGCAATTCATTTGCAGATAGATTGTGGTGGTGTGAGGGAGAGGTGAGATATGATGTTATTGGTTAATATTTTTTTTTTCAGAAGAAAAGCTATAGAAGGCCATTTCCTGCAATAAGTGATTTTTTTTCTCCTTCTGTGTTTCTGGCAGCATTGTGTCAAATAATTACTCAATAGTTACTTACTTTCCTGAAATATTGACTTCTCAAAAAAATGACTTACTTTCCCATAATACTCACATAGTATCTCAAAATAACAACAGTCTCTTGAAAAAATGATGTACTTTGTACTTTCACATTACAAATGATGTACTATGTTTGTGTATGAATATGAGTACATGTACAGTTAGCTGCATCATTTACAGCACCCTTGATAAACATGGGTAAAAAAAAATCTTTGTGGTTAATTTGCTCAGATCTCACACTAAAATATGTAATGTGTGTAATCTTAAACCACTTATCAACAAATATCAAAACCGCGTCACAATTATTGCCGCCCTGTGAAATTCATATGAATGAACTATGACTAAATTGTTCCCATTCATATAGTATTTCACTTCATCCCTATGCGTTAGGTTGGAGCAAAAATGTGAACCATCTGGGGGGCCCTGAGGACTGGGCTGGGAACCACTGATCTAAATGAAATGAGATGACAAATGTGGTGGTCTTCATAAATCAGGCAATGGCTGTACAAAATATCTACAAAGCAGAAAAGGCCCATATCTGCTGTTAAGGCAAAAATTAAGAGGACAAGAAAAGAAAACAAGAAGAGCTGTAGCGAACCTGCTTAGAAGAGGACGCAAGTGTCATTTGTCCCCATGCACAATGAGAAGGATAGTTGCAGAGTATGAGAAGTCTTTTACAAAGACATTTTTTAATGACCTTTTTTACCCATCTTTATCAAGAGTGCCAATAATTATGGAACTGACTGTATATGTGACGTTTTGTGTTGAGTCAGCACTGATTAGTAACAGATGGAGACATTTCTGTGAAAAGAGACAAATGCATCTCATCCCAGATACCACAATAGAATATCACAGAACTGCTGTGGTGTGTGTGTGAGTGTGCGTGCATGTATGTGTATACATCCGTTACTATGTGGGACTTGAAGGAGCAAAGAAACCACAACAGGAGGCCAGCACGTCTACACCAAGTTTCTTGTGAAAAAAGAAAGAAAGAAAAAAAAGCACAGGAAACCTCAAACCATTCACCTCCAGGAAAAGAAACAGGGACGTTTCGACAAAGGGTTGAATAGTATTGGAGAAAAGTGTGATAGGGTTTTTTTCAACTTGGGGCAAAGTTACTTAATTGAACCACCAGACTTACTGATCAATACTGCTATCTTAAACCAAAGCCTGCACTACACACACACACCGATCAGGCATAAGATTGTGACCATTTTATCAGCTCCACTTACTATATAGGTGCACTTTGTAGTTCTACAGTTACAGAATGTAGTCCATCTGTTTCTCTGCATACTTTGTTAGCCCCCTTTTACCCTGTTCTTCAGTGGTCAGGACCCTCATGGACCCACACAGAGCAGGTACTATTTGGGTGGTGGATCGTTCTCAGCACTGCAGTAACACTGACGTGGTGGTGGTGTGTTAGTGTGTGTTGTGCTGGTACGAGTGAATCAGACACAGCAGTGCTGCTGGAGTTTTTAAACACTATGTCCACTCACTGTTCACTCTATTAGACACTCCTACCTTGTCAGTCCACCTTGTAGATGTAAAGTCAGATAGCTCATCTGCTGCTGCACTGTTTGTGTTGGTCATCCTCTAGTCCTTCATCAGTGGTCACAGCATGCTGCCCACAGGACACTGTCGGCTAGATATTTTTGGTTGGTGGACTATTCTCAGTCCAGCAGTGACACTGAGGTGTTTAAAAACTCCAGCAGCACTGCTGTGTCTGATCCACTCAGACCAGTGCAACACACACTAACACACCACCACCACATCAGTGTTACTGCAGTGCTGAGAATGATCCACCACCCAAATAGTACCTGCTCTGTGAGGGTCCATGGGGGTCCTGAGCACTGAAGAACAGGGTAAAAGGGGGCTAACAAAGTATGCAGAGAAACAGATGGACTACAGTCTGTAATTGTAGAACTACAGTCTGTAATTGTAGAACTAATTGTAGAACTCAGTACAAAGTACAAGTTATTTATTTTATCCCCAGTGTGTTAAACTGAGCAAATAAACAGTAAATGACTGTACATTTTTACACTGTAACTGTGTCTTTGTCAGTACGAAAATACTTTCTCATAAATAATGACATAACAGTTTTCCAAAGTATTGACATCACAACAGTGGGAGTAAATATTTTTTTGGGATTGGCATTATTCCCTATGTAAAATTTTCATCATTGGTCCTCCAAATTCTGCATTTTTTTGTCTAAAGCAAATGCAAAATTTGTCTAAATAGCTTTCTATTTCATATTGTAGCAACCCTCTTTTGGCCATGGACGTGCGGGAGGTTTGGCCATGCAGAGCAGAGATGCACAGAGCACCACGGCAGCGTGGGACTCGCAGTAAGAGAGACTTTAAATGTATAAATAAGTTGTGGTTAAGTCGAAGATGTGCACACATGTTGTTTGTGCTAATCTATGCTGGGTTGTGGGGTAGTTAGGCAGTGTTAAGAGGCTACCATGTATGGGAAATATGTGGTTAGAAATGACCTGTCTGCTTCCTGGCCATGTCAGCTAGCGCTGAGCAGTGGTTCTCCAGTGCTGCTGCATTCAATTAAAGAGCATTTGCTTAGAGCGCTATGTTTCCTGTGTCATTTTCTTCGCCAGCACCACAAAATTAATTGCAAACCGACAATGTCTTTTCACATGATTTTGCAGTGCTATTAGTAGTTAAGGCAGGGTTGCACAGCTGCGCTCCTTACCTACTCACACACTTGATTATGCTCATTGGTTAATTGTCAGGTTTAGTGGAAGTGTTTAAGCAGGGAAACTACCAAACTGTGCTGGACACTGGTCCTCCAGGCCTGGAGTTATGCACCCCTGAATTTAGGTCTCATTAGAGCAATGAATACTTGTTAGCTTACCTGAAAGTTTCCTCCGTGGACGGACAGAAGGGGCTGAAAGTATTTGGATGGATCAGGAATGTGTTCACCGCCTGCTTTTGACATACTGCAACACAACACACATATCAATGACAAACAAATAAGGTTTCCTTTAAAAACACATGTAGTTCATGTAATCACAGTTGAATCTTACATGGGACTGTAGAGAGAGTCAATCAGTTGTGTTATGACAAAGGTTTAGAGTATAGCCCAAATAGCCCTGAACAGCCCAGTTGAACAGAAGGGCAATATTTCTGACTGGAGTAATTTCAAAATAACTACAGAGCAGTGCTTAAGACAATCAAGTTCGACTCTTGTTTCAGATATGAATAAATTGTCTGTCAATCTGTCCATCTTTCCAATGTAAGAATACAACTCAACGCTGTGGGTCTGAAAGGATGTGTAGCTCTCAGGACTTTATTGAGAAAATGAAAAATAAGTTGCTGGTGTTAGAGTAATGGGCTGGCCACCCCAGAGTCCAGATCTTATTGCATGTGAATGTGTTTAGGATTACATGGATTTGAGAAGAAGAAAATGCAACCAACATCTAAGACTGAACTTTAGAGGTGTATATCCCTGCAGGTTTCCCAAAAGAATGGAAGCAGTCATACAGGTGAATGCTGGAAACGCTGAAAAGTTGTTGAGGCTTCTTGAGGTTTTTACTACTAAATACATGTTTTCTGATTTATATTTCTGATGCTCAAAAATGATTCAATTGGCTTTTTGACTGGACATTACACAAAGTGATCTGACATTTGTGCAGGACTATATTTTAAAACTTTGACTTCATTAATATTCTACATGTGGAAAATAGAAAAAAAAATAAAATGAAAGCATGTTTTATGAGTATTCATATGACATGCATATAAAAAGAAAAATTGTTCTCAAGGAAACTATTATTAATCAGTTTTCTCAGTCAGCTATGGTTACAAACCAACCCACAAATATATATACACCCATACACAAACCTTAGAACTTGACCTCAAGCATACATACTCTCACATACACCTACCAGTAGTATCTGTGGACTGTGCAGACAATGATTGAGGTGAGTAGAACCAGGATTACTGGTATAAACCCCGTCAGCAGTCCTGTTCCAAACACAGAAATAAAACACACAATCCATCTACATCACAATTCTGCATATGACTTATTTCACTGTCACTGTGACCCCATTTACACCTGGTCATTTCTTTTGACTAGTTTCAAGATCGCAACTTAATTGCAACCACGTGCATTTACTCTTAGTAGTCAAATGCATCTCAGGTTAGTCAGAATGAAATCCAGTGGCTGTATGATGAACAACACAGACACAGGATTTAGTTAGAAGTGCTGACATTTTCAGCAACATATATGTGACGAACACGGCGACGTCAAGTACCGCTGTGTTAATTTTTTTATCGAATTTGTTTGAATTGCTTGGAGACAGAAAACAAGATACAACTGCTCTCTCTGGCTGGACCAACTTAAGCAACTGAGCAGAGTGTTGACCAATCAGATTGCTGATATGAGACAGGAAACCACTTGTGTGATCCCTGGTGGTTTCCTGTCTCATATCAGCAATCTGTTTAATTAGTCAAGCTACATGCACACATTTAGTGGGAGATTATTACAACGGTAGGAAAAAATCGATGGCTGATGGGAGATAAAGACTTTGATAGAATTTTTTAAAAATAGTATTGGGCTGCTTTAGGGCACATAATTAGCCTACAACTCCTGTTTGTGGTTTTGTAGCATGCTCACTAGTAAAAGTTATGTTTCCAAAGCATCCAACAGTTGGCGAGGAAAGTGATTCGCTTCACTCTAAAATACAACGTTAACTTAACTAGTGGATGACTACTGCAGAATTTTATCAGATAAATTGAAATTCCACCTTACCAAACACACACATGGCTCTTTGCTATGTTAAAAGCATTTAAAGTTCAGTTGTTTTGTTATTTTTCTGGTGTTTTTTTTAGCAATTGCAGTTAACCACTTAAATGGCCAGGGCCCACCAGTGGGCCTAAAGTTTTACACTTCTATAACCTATAAATAACTCAAGCAGTTTGTATTGAAGTACCTGTAGTTACTGAATAATAAGACTTGGTATGTAATAATCCTAAAATTTTAAGAGGTTAAACAATCCAGAAATCTGGGGCTGATGCAGCTTCCTCAGCACCCCTGATCGTAGCTGTGTTGTGCATTTCTGTACACCATCAGTAGATACAAGAACACAGCATACATAATGAACCACATGCACTATAATGTAACAAATAGCAAGATGGCAAGTAACCTAGAGGCGAAGTAAAGTTGAACTTAAACTGGCAGCATATTTAAGCTAAACAGCTTCCCACTCAGGTCCGTGAAGCTAACAGTACTGAACTTGAACTGAAAGGAGAAACTCACATCCTAAGACTGAACTGTAGAGCACCGCCAAATGTGTTAATTAGGGCAGCACAGGGGGCAGTTCCTTCCCAGCAGGGGGAGGCATCACCACAGTGTTGGGAGGGGCTTTGGTGGTCGAATGTGGTTTGGAGAGACAGATGCATTTACCTTGTATAACATCTGGCTAAAATGTGTCTCAGAGCATCTCCTGAAGTGGTTTCAGAGATCACTTGCATTGTTTATGTGTATTTTTTATGTGTATTATGCTTGAGTGTTTTTCATTGCTAGGATAACAAATAATTTCTTTCAAGAAATAATGCTTGAATTAAAATTCACTTATCTGCCAGTGCAGTGTCACTTCATAAGCTAAATATTATACATGTGAATGCATGGATAACATAATCATACCATAAATATGTCCTGGCAGATATTATATAATGTAATGACAGATTGTTATCAATACAGTTAATTGTTATAATACATCATAGTCGTAGTACATTTAGCAAAAGTTTGCAAGTGACATAAGCTGACATAAACATCAAACTTTATGGTAGCTGTCATGTCAATTACTGGTAATCGTAATGTGACTGAATAAAAATCTGTGCAGCATGCTGCACTGGTTCTGTCGATGTTATGTAAGCAAAGTAAAGTGTTACCATGTCTCCTGCTGGAACACTGCAGATTTACTTGATAAGTTTGGAAAAATAATGTTATGCCCAGTAGATAGTTAACAAAACTGTAGGCTTGTAATCACCAACGGTTTTTGAGATAAAGGCCGTTTCGGCAGTTGTCATCAACATCTCATCATTATGATCTGATCATGGTGATTGGATCAGCATCCGATTAAGACACAGCACTTGTACACTAGCCCTGTACAAATGTACTTTCTCCCTCCAGATAGTGATTGGAGCGCCTTCACCTGCACAATATTTTAATTTTGATTCAGGCTAAGCAGGCAGAAACAGCTAGACTCAATCACAAATACAGTTAGATGCTTTAGAAAGTGAGTGTAGCCTTAAGGTTTGCCTTATGGAAAATATCTATAATGCAATATGTAAAATGACATTATTTCCTGAAAGTATTGCACATATCTGAGATAGCCTTTTGGGAACTTCTGAAGTCTGGTGATTTGTAACAGATTTAACTTTAAATATGTGGCATTTGCTCTGGATGTTTTCACTTGATGAGATTAGATTTTTTTTTTTTCAATGGTTGGAGAGAAAGAGATAAGGAGAGAAGGAAAGAGAGAGAGAGAGAAAGGGTGGATGTACCTGATGTACGTATAGTAGTATCTTGTGTGTTCTGGTCTAATACGGTTTTGTTTCTTCCAACTTCAGAAGTCCAGTTGATGGAGGGGCTCCAGTCACTCCACTGGCCAAGATACTGGCCATCATTTTCGGGCTTTACAGGCTTCACTCTGACTCGGGCCTCATATTCATCACCCAGTGTCAGTAAGTCACTGTCCAGTACAACCAAGGTATGGTCCACCTTCCTTGGTTGAACTTCCTACACACACATGCACACACATACACACACACACACACACACACACACACACACAGTTAATGTTAATGTTCATGCACAGTTACTTTATATTTGATTGACCTTAAACATAAAAAAGTAATTGTATTGTGGCATGTTAGAAATTTTGGACATCAACTTAATTAGCTTCTTAGACCTTACTTGACTTATTGGGACTGACTAGGAAGGTCAAGAATTATCCTTCGGAACTGTCAGCTGCTAATTCCACAGTGTAGTAATTCTGTGACTGATAATTCAAATCTTCTAAGCTCACTCAGCAACCATGGGCTCCTCCAAGCAGCTGAGTGAGTATCTAAAAATGAAGCTAATTGATGCCTACAGAGGAGTGGAAGGCTATAAGAAGATCAAATTTATGTTTCACGCTGTCCAAAATGTCATTAAGAAATTTTAGGACTTCCAAGATCTGGAAGACCAAGAAAATTTCAGATAGAACTGCTCGTATACTGGCTAAAACAGCAAAACAAAACCCACAGGAATGCGACCTCATCACAAAAATCAGTGTTTTAATGGAAAACAACATCTAGGTAAGCCAGGGGCATTTTGAAAATAAGTGCTTTAGACTGATGGAATAAAAATGGAACTCTTTGACCATAATCACCAAAATGTTTGGAGAAAATTGTGGAATTGTGTAACAGCTAGTGGTGTAGGAAATGGGTGGGTGGACTAAGGAATGGCAAACCAAATGTAACACAGTCAGGAAACTGAAGCTAGAAATCCACTGGCTTGTACAACAAGACAATGATTCAATACAACTCAAAATCCACCATGAACCTTTTAAAAAAATGCAAGCTGAAGCTTTTGGAATCGGCCTCAAAGTCCCCTGACATGAACATCATTAAGAATCTGTGGGTATCTTAAACATGCTGTACATGCAAGGCAGCTCAATTATGTTGCAGAATTAGAAGTATTCTGCCAGGAAGAGTGTACAACAATGAAATCTATATCCCCTACCCCCCCGCCCTCCACACCCACACACGCCAGACACACGTAGTCAGACACTGACCTCCCAGATTTGTGATGCAGACTTGAACTGTAGCTGATATTCACAATTCATGGAAGATTCAGCTCCTTTGCTCCAGCTGATGTTTCCTCTGTAAACATTTGGCCTCGCCAGTGGACGCAGTTTAACTGTCAATCAAAACAAAAGACACCAGCATTAATCGCCACTGTCACTGCATCTTCCATCTCATAACAAATATCAGCCTATATTTAGTAAATTACCTCTTTATTACATCCATTTAACTTTGCACTACTGTGCAAAAGTCTTAAGCACAAGTCTTAATAATTAAAAGTGGTTTGAATGCTTAGAATAAGTACAAATAATATTGGATAACTCTTTGACTACATGACACCTACCTAAACAAGTCATTGCAATTTACTTACCCCTAACTTACCCTACTGCATTTACCAACATTGATGTCAAGCTGGCGTAACATTTATGACATAGTTTCTTTATGTTTTTTCTTTGAAATGATATAACATGTAAAACCAATTGACTTTGTAGCTTAGCGTAGATCAGAGTGACATACTGCTGATGTTGTAACAGCTTAAAGTTTATAAATGGCAAAATGAAACTCATTTTACCCAAAGGCCACAGGAAATGTTTAACCAGCTTCACTTGGCAAGCTGTCATATTGTCAGCATTATGTCACTGTGACACAAGTTTGTCATTTCACCCAAGAAATTGTGATGATACAATCTCATATCAGAAAAAAAAAAATGTGTCAACCGACATAAATGTTTAGCTGTCAAATGCAAAAATGATCACAAATGATGCCTAGTTAAGTAAGTGTTTATAAATATTTTTGTAGGTCTGTGTCAGTTTCCCTACAGTAAAGTGTAATTTAATATTAATTTAATAAGTAGTGCTTTTATGTATGTCAATGTTTTTATTTAACCACCCCCTTTACAGACACCCAGTATTAATCATTAATTGTAGTCATCATTCAGTACTTGGTATATCTATTCAGTTCAAGTTAAATCAAGTGTGCTAGTGATGGATTTAAACAAATCCATGTGATGGCTAAGGGTGTCAAGAAGAAATCTGGAACCACACCTGTGTTCTCCTAACCAGCTTACAAGATATCAACTACTTTTTGGAAGGTTTTTATTACTTTTGACTGCATTATTATTTAGTTGTGTACATTCTGATGATATATCATGTTTTTACAAGCAAAAACACACTTATAGTGCAAATAAATGGTTTTAAACAATCTGGCTTTTGCACACTACTGTAGGTGTACAATTACAGACTATCAGCCCCCTTCTACACCCTCCAGCTATGGAAAGGAACCACCATGAGACCACCTCTGTCCAGATATTATCTGGGTGGTGGTTTATTTTCAGCACAACATTGGTAACCTAGTGGTAACCATAGTAACCTAGTGGTAGCATGGTAGTGTGTGGCACTGGTAGGAGTGTATCAGACACAGCAGCATTTTTGGAGTTTTTACATGCTGTGTATACTTATTGGGCACTTTATTGGAAACCCCTCATTTGTAACTCCACCTTGGTGGTGAATAGTTAGAGGCTGTAGCTCCTCTGCCAATTCACAATTTGTGTTATTTGTACTTTTGTCCATCATCAGTGGTCACCTGTCCTCTAGACCATCATCAGAGGTCAGAGCTGCTGTTGGCTGAAAACGTTTTGGTGACTCAATCTAGCAGTTACACTGATGTGGGTAAAAATCCCTGAAGACCAGTGCAGCTGCGCCACATGCACTACCACGGAATGTCAGCGTCACTGCTGTGCTGAAAATGGTCTACCATCGAACAATCAGAGCGACTTTGTAGTCAGAAACTGACCAGTGATGACTGGGGTTGAGGGAACTGATTAATAGATCGTGCAATACTAATAAATTGGTAACTCAGTGTAAATGGGGCTATAAAACCATTCAAAAAAACGGGTAAAACTGATGTAAACCGTTGTGTTTTTACTGTGATCATGAAACAATAAGAAGATATTGTGACAGAACATATTTAGCCAGAGTATTTGTCATGAACATGGGACATTTTTATTTAGTCACTGCAAGGCAAAGCAATACTAAATGAAACGCAAATAAATTCAGTTGAAAGAGAAAAAGGAAGCTCACTGTTACGGCCAGGCTTATAGTTGTCCAGACCAAAGACTGCAGTGCCATTACAGATTACCTTTAAATTGATCTCTTCTGCAAATGTAAAGCGCTAGGAGAAAGAAAGAGAAGCAGAATCATAATCACTTGATAGATAGATAGATAGATAGATAGATAGATAGATAGATAGATAGATGCAGACGTAAATGGAGAATATGGACACTAATCAAATAAATGCGATACATAACACATGCATTGGTATTACAAAATACATATATAACACAGGGTGTGTACAAAGTAATGGAAACACCACTCATAAACCCCCTCCACCATCCATCAATGGTAATGCTGAGAATGGTCTACCACCCAAATCTGGTCAGTGGTGGTACCGTGGTGGTTCCTGTCCATTGATGGATGTGGTAAAGTGGGACTGATTAATTGTTCATTAACAGATGGAAGAGCATGCCTAAGGTAGGTGTTTCTGATAAAAAGGCCAGTGAGTATGTATATTTTATGTGGTGTCCTCATTATTTTGAAGACCCCCTGCACATCTAGTATAGAAACTAAATGTATAACCATTTGACATTATGACAAATAAAGTGGGATATCACTGTAAAGTGGGAATAGGTATAAATATCATGAAGTGAACTGAACAATATCATGAAGTGTCTTATTAAAAATATATATACATTTTTAGTGTCATTAAAGCACAAACATCTGTAAACCCTGCAGAAATGTTGTTGTGTACACTATTGAGCAAAAGTACTCAGAGACCACCCTTCGTGTATGTACTATCCAGTCAAAACAGCCAAGTACAATTTATTTAGTTTTCAAAAAAAAAGTTTTGAGGAGATTATATATGAGAGGTCATCTACATAAGGAGTGGGACAGACAAATGAAAATTAGTGAAAAAAATAGTTTTCAAAACTGGGGTTTAAAAATTGATTAAAATCTATAGAGAAATTAAGACTTCAAACAAACATGAAAGACCTGTTAGACCACCAAAACTGTCACCATCAGATAAACAGTAAAAGATGAAAATGTTAAAGCTTTCATCTTTGAGAGAGAGGAGAAAATTAAGCTCCACTCTTGCTTCAGATCTGAAAACACCCACAGGTGTTTCTGTCCATCCTTTCACTGTGAGAAGACAACTCAACACCGTGGGTCTGAAAGCATGTGTAGCTGTCAAGAAGCCATTAGTGAGAAAAGAAAACAGCCAAAAAAAGAAGAACATTTGCAAATTAAACAAAGAAGCTGCTGGTGTTCTCAGAACAATGGCCTGATCTCAACATCACTGAGTGTCTTTGGGATGGCAAGGATTATGAGAGGCAGAAAATACAACCAACATCTAAGACTGAACTTTTTGAGTTTGGAAAAATATCCCTGCAGATTTCTTTGAAAAACTGAAAGCAAGTCTCCAGAAAATGACGGAAGCTGTAATGAAGGCAAAGGTTGAATACAATAAATCTCATTATCTTCATTATCTATCTATATCTATATATATTGCTGCTCTTGGGGAAAAAAAACCTTGTATCTCAATTTTTTCAAAATTTGAAAAGGCCAGTTCATACATTTCATGATGAATGGACCAACAGAAATGATCCAAAATTACTTGGATTATTTTTTTATCCACCCTGCGATGGACTGGCGACCTGTCCAGGGTGTATCCTGCCTTCCGCCCAAGACAGCTGGGATAGGCTCCAGCACCCCACCGCGACCCAGAAGGATAAGCGGTTTAGTTGATGTATGTATGTATGTATATATTTTTTTATCCATTTCCTTGCATTAAAACATTTTTTCTCATCCTGTAAAGTTGCCTTTTTGGAGATATAAGGTGAACAATATATATATATATATATATATATATATATTAAATGAAGGATATGTTTTGTGCTCACCAGTGACTTAAAGTCAATCCAGCAGCCTGTTGCTCCATTAGAATGAAATGTTAATGGCTGTAGAACACATCTTTCGTTTCTGTAACACAAACAAACACACACACACACACACACACACACACACACACACACACACACACACACACACACACACACATGCTATAAATAGAATAATTGGAAATCATGTACAAAAACCCCACATTACCTGGGAAGCAAACAGTACAGACAGTTGTTATGCTACTCTCCAAACAAACATATGTACAGAAAAAGCAAGAAGCAAGTTGTGGTGCATTAGTGCCTGTAAGCATGCAAAAAAAAAAAGATTGTCAGCTTCTGACCACAGAGCTGCGCTTGGCTGGCCACTCTCAACCTGGTAGTGACACTGACGTGTGTGTGAAAACCCCATCAACACCAGTGTGCCTGATAAACTCATTCCCGGCACCACACACACTACTATGTTTGTTTCACTGCTGTGCTGAGAATAGTTTAACATCCAGATAATATCTGTCAACAGTGGTCCTGTGGTCAGAAACTGTGCAATCACAAAGGGGCTGATAAATTGTGCAGAGGATGGGCTACAATGTATAATTATATATAGTGGAGGTATATAGTACATAGTACAATCTAATATACAGTACTGTGCAAAAGTCATAGAGCACTTTTCACCAATTCAACTTAACAACCAAAACAACTAAATATCATATCAATATTTTCACTACTAATTGTGTCCAGCCTTTTCTCTTATCATGACTTCCATTTTTTTCCAAGCTTTCAGTTTTTCAAAGAAATTTGCTGGGATATTTTTCAACACTTCCAAAGTTCAGTCTTAGAAGTTGGGTATGTTCTCTGCTTCTCATGATCCAACAAATTCCAATCACAAATTTAGTCCATGAAACCTTACTCCACATCTCAGGTGTCCACTTTCAGTGTTCTATTTCCTTTTCTCAATAATGGCATCTTGACAGCTACACATTCTTTCTGACCTATGGCGTGTTCTCCCAGTTGAAGGATGGACAGAAGTATCTGGGAATTTTCACAGATCTAAAACAAAACTGGAGCATCATTTTCTCCTATCTCTCAAAGATGAAAGCTTTTAGTGTTTTTTGTCTGATGGTCACACTTTTGGGAGTCAGCCAGGTCTTCCAAAGGTATCAGGATTCCCATTTTCCCAATTTTTTGCACTCCCATTTTGGAAACTCCTGTAATTTCATTGATGTTTTTTGACTACCTTTCCTTATGAAAGTGGATTAAAAAAATGAAGGGTGGTCTCTGACATTTGCACAGTACTGTAATGGCCAATAAGAGTAGATAAAACGACTGGGCAGCTTAATATACATATACATATCAGACACACACATACACACATATATGACTCACTGAGTTCCCTTGAATGTATTTCTGCTTGCATGAAGGCTGCAGACTTGGCCAGCATGTTGTGTTGCATTGTGCCATTCACATGTGATATTGGTGTTGAAGTCATTTACACAGGACAAACCTGACAGAGTTCAGAGTTAAATTTTTAATCTTAGTAATATAAAAGTATATATGAGTACCAAGTTATTTTTACATAATTGTTGTCTGTATTTGGTCTTTTAACCCTTTGTGAAGAACTTTGAGTTTCATTACATGTATGAAGACTGCTATACTAATAAAGTATATTATTATTTAAAGCTGCACTATGTAAGAGTTTCTGGTTAATGTTGAAAGAAGTAGCATCACTCAGAGAGAGAAAAAAACATGCTAAAATATTTTCACAAGATTTCACAGGAGTTTTTGGACCATGTCATACGTCTTTACATGTTAACATCACATGCACAAATTTAAAAAGAAGACCTGGCTTGATGTTTAGCTCTTAAATACAAAATCAACATTATACTTATGAAGATATGATGGCAACAGTACATCATTCACATACATCCTCTGAACACATGAGCTTACTTATTCAACACACCTAAAATCGTCAGATTTATCTGCTCAAGGAAGAGTTCTTAAGCACAACCCATGTTACAAAATGTTCTTCCACATGTTCTATGTAATTACACATTTTAATGAGAGGTCTCCAAATCCACAAATCTTACATAGTGTAGCTTTACGCTAACAGTTCAAAAGAACTGGGTTAGTAAAACGAATCGAACTTCGAATCACTAGTGAGCACTTACCTGTGAGCGCGTGACTTGGCCAAGTTGTGCCAGAAAGGAAGAGAACAGGAATTAGCCAACCACTCCACATCACTGCTGCTACACATAAACAAAAACACAACACACACAGACATCAGTTTGTATTCATGATGTCAATTATAATATCACACAAACTTTAAAGCAGTTTGTAAATCTTTAAAGCCACATGCAGAAACGATTTCACATTTTTATTTGACTGACACTGACCCACATGCACATTCGGATGCGCTCAGGCTGACAGATAGATACGCACGCATAACACACACCTCCCACATTATCACCGTAAGAGGGGAGGTCACTAACTGTTGCTGGGGAGATGCAAGAAGGATAGAGAAAACCACAGACTTCTGTTTTTACTTGTGGCTGAAAGTGTGACTCACACACACACACACACACATACAAACACACACACACAAACAAACAGCATCTTATGGTTGTTGAAGGCCTAAATTTGGTAACTGCATACACACCCTTACCATGAGTGTGAAGCCAAAAATTCTGCTGGACAGCACTGCGGTCAGTTTGATCAGCCAGTTTGCTAAAATAGCCAAGTCAGCAACATTAGTGTCATTCTTTTTGTTTGTTAACTTGCCTGTTTTTGTTTCTGACTTTCTTTATTTCAATTTACTATCCATTATTGAATTCACTCATTTCTAAAAAAATTAGTATATAAAAAAAGTATGTAAAATTGTAACAAAAAACAGAAAGCAGTGTTTATTGAATCCTGTTTGATGTGTATTAAATTGAAAACAAAACAAAATATGACATTTGATGTTTTACATTACGAGGTTTACTGTATTTTTGGTAAAATATATGTGCATTCCAAATTTGATGCCTGCAACACCTTCTGAAAAAGTTGGGACGGGAGCATGTTTACCACTGTGTTATATCACCTTTCCTTTATCAACACTTACTAATTATTTGGTTAATCCAGTTTTGAAAGCAGAATTCTTTGCCATTCTGTTGTTGCACGAATCTATGCTACTATGTGGGGTCTTCATTTACATACTTTTTGCTTCATGAAGCACCACTTGCTTTCAGTGGGAGGCAGGCCAGTCTACCACCATGCTATTGTAACACATGCAGAATGTGGCTTGGTGTTGTCATGTTAAAGTAAGTTTGGAAATCCCTTAAACAGATATAGTCTAGAAGGCTCCATTTGAAAAAAGAAAATATTTCAGAGTTAATGATGACTTAATGCAAAGTGCAAATAATAATAGATCACAGCGGCGACTGTGGCCACAGATTTCCATTTTTACCTCACTAGTCCACAGCATTTGTTTCTAAAATGCCTCTGGCTTATCTAGATGTTGTTTTGCATACTTAACATGTTGGCTTTTCTGATTAGGTTGCAGGGAAAGGTTTTTTTTTTCTTCTGATGACTCTTCCAAGTAGATCAGAACAGTAGAATGGTGCACTGCCACACACTGGTCAACTAGACCTTCCTGTAGGTCCTTTGCTATTATGTGGGGGTTTTACTTTGCCTTTCTGGTCAGCTTATGAACAATTCTAGCTGAGATTTTCTTAAGCTTGACTTCCACAGTTTTCTAAATAACTATTTCTTAATTAATTTTTGGACAGTGAGAATTATGAGCTGGAAGCACTTTGATTTATTATTATACCTTCCCCTGCTTTGTAGGCATCCATAAGCTTACTTTTTAGATGCTGCCAGAAGAGCTCAGATTAGCCCATGGTTATTGAGTGTTGGCACAAGGTTTAAAGATTGAGAGAATTCATTACAGTCTGGAATTGTTATTATTGTCAATACCTAATGCCAATTATTGACCTGCCTAACGAGTCCTAAAGAGTTGATTAAAGCCCAACGGGTGAATTTACAACCAGAAGAGTGTCCAGACTTTTGCACATGCCTCAATTACTATTTTATACTTTTCTATTTTCTTAGAGAAAGGAAAACTGTATTTACATGGAACTGTCATACCATGAACCTTAGAGACAAGCACTGTTGTCTCCTCCTTCAAATCTAAATCCTGCATTTGCAAAAGAGGGCAGTAAAATGGGCCAATTCTAAAATCCTAAACTGTTATGCAACAGTCTTGATTCATTAATATTTATGGACCCAAAATTTACATATACCAGCTCTCATTCTAGCCCAACAGGAAGCAATGACAACCGAGCAACTGTGATGGAAATGGTGGACTATTTGCAGAACTTTTACCATTCCAGGCTGAGAAGAGATGCACTTTTCAAACTATTCCCAAAGATCCGGACCACCAACAGCCATGGTTGATGTTCATCTTGAAATGAGGCTGAAGCTTTCTATTGAAGTTAGCCTCTTGATTGAAAGTTCCATTCCTTCTTAAATGCTACAGCTTGTGCCGGGGCCCGGATGTAACTGCAGTACGGTTTTGGAATGGAAAATTCGCAAAATTAGCTTGCGAATAGGAAGCCAACTTCAGGCAACTTTAACTAAAAGTTGTTAGTTTACTCTGCACATTTTACTCACGTCTGGGCAATTTCTCAAACCTTGGACAATATCGAGCAGGCTTTGCTCAGTATTATGTAAGTAGCTGTAAGTACCTGTAAGTAGCCAGGAATACTGTATGATTTTAATTACTTTTTGCTGGTTGAAGCCAGATCATCTTAAATTGAAAGTCAAATTGAAATTCATAGTGCACTAAGAACATTAACTTACTTTGTACCGTTGTCAAGATAGCAAGTAGCTAGTATAGGCAATGTTAGCTAATAGCTCCTAGTAACTAGCATAGCTATTAAATAATATGATGACCTAGCATATTTACATGGAGGTTCATTTTATTTATTTATTACAATTTTTTCTATTTTTTTTTAATAGTTTGCTGCAGAGGTTGTGTGTTGTGAAGTTACTTTTAAAATGATCAAAATATGTAATTTGGCAAGTACAACTGCAGATACTCTACTGCCGAAACTTGGTGATTCATAGCCAGGATTAAATTCTGAGTTGAGGTTAAGGTTAGAGTTAGGTTCAGGTTTTGGGTACAGGTTAAGGTTAGATTTAGAGTGAGTGTTAGGTTGTTGGTTAGGTAATAGATTTAATAAGTCGTGGATTGAATTTAATAGATATTTAGATAAATGCGATTTAAAGTCACGTTGAATCTACAGTTGGCTATCCAAAAAACGTTTGTTCATTTTTATACCATTAGACAAAAACTCCTGCCTTTTACACTGTATGAACATTTCACAATGAATGAGCCAACAGAATTGCTCTACTTGGAACACAGCAATTATTCAGAATAATATCTTATTACAATAATGGACATCAGGCTTAAGAACAACATTTCTTTCTGGTATTATTTTACCATTTCTGAGATATGATATCATTATGATAGTGACGATATGACATAATAAATACGTGCCACTATCTAAAAATGAGAACTATGTACAAGTGGTTCTTTGTTGTGTAAGAACATTATTGGGAAAACCTCCACTGAGCTGGACATTTAATGTACCTTTTTAATGCTGTGCATTTTCTACTGCATACCATGATCCCCCAAATCAACCTACCAGATCCAGAACTTTAGCATTTTTACAGTAGAAGAGAATTCCACTGATTTTTAAACATGTTGACATCATTCCAGTGTTGAAATGTATATGTTGTTTGATGAGAAATGGTGTAGAGATGAGAAATGAGAGAAGTTAGATTTGTTCACAGCTATGATGACTGGAATAAGCCACTTAAAGAGTTTAATGCCTCTAAGATCTTCCTCACAAAAAGTTATTACCTCAAATAGTTGTGAATATGTTGCCTGGAACAGTTTTCAGAATGGTTTGGAGAAGAAAACAGTTTGTCCGCAAGGGTCTTGTGAGGCAAAATAGCATCCAAACAAAGCTGTTGTTTTGTAGGTATACCATTATTTTACCATTGACATTTCATATAAACACTTAGAAGATACATGCAGGACCCCTTGTTGTTGTGGATGGTAAATAATATCTTTATATTCAGAATTGAATTGAAAAAAATTCTGCTTCCAGCCTTTTAGGCTGCTGTCCACAAGGAACACACACACACACACACACACACACACACACACACACACACACACACATATATATATGCGTGTGTGTGTGTGTGTGCGTGTTCCTTGTGGACAGCAGCCGGAAGCAGATTTTTTTTTCAATATATATATATATTAAACACTGTGTCCACTCACTGTCCACTCTACAAGACACTCCTACATTGTTGGTCCACCATGTAGATGTAAAGTCAGAGACAATAGATCATCCATTGCCGCACAGTTTGTGTTAGTCTTCCTCTAGTCCTTCATAAGTGGTCAGAGGATGCTGCCCACAGGACGGTGCTGACCGGATACTTTTGGTTGGTCGACAGCAACACTGCTGTGTCTGATCCACTTGTACCAGCACAACACACACTAAAACACCACCACTATGTCAGTGTCACTGCAGTGCCGAGAATGATCCACCACCCAGATTATACCTGCTCTGTGGAGGTCCAGTGGGTGTCTTGACCATTGAAGAACACACACATACACACACACACACACACACACACACACACACACACACACACGCATATATATACATACATATAAAAACTCAGAGTCTAAGTCAATCAGAGGACCGTTTGAGACACGAGGGAAAGTTCTAGATTCGCACATGTGCAGTCATCCATTTAAACTGGGCATTTAAATGGAGGTAAACGCAGGATCTGAACTGGATTACTGACTGAACCTTCACTGAATGTGCATAAGGTCACTCTGGACACACAGGGCAAGCCCTGCTGAGCTGTGATGTGTGAATTGTGTCGCTGTTTTAACCCTTTCATTGCCATATGAAGGCTAAAGCAGAGAGCTAATAGCATGTTTTATGTGGGTCAGGCTGTGTTTGGAGCTGTATTTCTGGCTGTGGGATGGTTAGAAGTGTGATTTCTCACTCTGGCTAGGCAGGTCAGGGTTTAATGAGTGTTCTGGTGTGTGAATCATGTCGCTATTTTTAACCCTTTGTAATATAAAGGCTAAAAGCAGAGCAGTGATATCAGGATTTTGGGTGATTTTCTGAGCCAAATTACTGACTGATGCTGACATAAGAGCTCAATGATATCATGCTAGCTTGTTTGAGCTGAATGTTCTGATATGTGGATCATGCCTGTAGTTTAAGTCCTTCTGAAGTTATGAAACCTAGATGTCAATTACGCATTTTCCCCGCAAAACGGCCTCAATTGGATTAATGGCTTCAAACAGTTCACCTAGTTTGTGTTCAGTATGAGACCAAATATTCTCTGTAGTGTTTAGCTGGACTCTGAACAGGCCAAAACCATTCTAAAAACATTATATTTCTTACTTTTGCCCAGGAGTGTATATACGTAATCAGTTAAGAATGTTTAATTCCTTCTCTTAAAATATATTCCTTCAATATTTACAAGGATTATCTTATGATCTTTTTTTAAAGCTAGCACATCAATTGAGACAGTAATAGGCTAAACATATGTAAAATCATCATTTATAGGTTACGTTCTATTGGGAAGTGGCTTTTTTGTATTTTTTCAATGTTTTTTTTTACCCTTTTTCTGTATTATTTCCATTTTTTTTACACTTTTTATGTTTTTTTTCAATGTTTTTTTAATATCTTTTAAATTTCTGTAGAGTTCAAAGACTTAGACTTATCATTACTTTAATAAAAAAAAATGCTGTTTCACGTTTTCCTGTCACTACCGAAACACAGTTTTAGTGTATAGGTGGTGCCTAATTTTAGGCACACCCCTGCAATTTAGAGCAGGAAGTGAGACTGCATGTCTGTCCCTTGTGGCCACATAGTGAGCAGTTATATCCCATTGTTTTAAAGTAAATGTCTCCCAAAGTCTGAAAATCAGTGTGTAACCTTAGGAAATGTCACTACTGAAACACATATTGTCTGTACTAAAGTAAACTTTTTTGTGTTTAATGAAAAATATGATGATTTGTGTGTACAACTGTTCAATGCTGTGTTTGCTTGTCTAGAGTCTTTGAGTTATGCTCAGTATGAGCTAAAATTTTCACTACCAAAACATGAGTCATATCTGACATGTTATCATTGCATATAGGTGTGTGTTTATGTGAGCTATGAGCAGCGGCTGTAGAGGTATGTCAGTGTTGAGGAGATATATTAAAGCTGCAGTTAGTAGTTGCAGAAGTCACAGCGCTCTAAAAATGTCAGCTGTGAAGATAAGTCAGCACACACACACACACACGCGCACACTACGCCCAGCAGCAGTCGTGCAGTATCAAAATGACTGTTTCAATCTTCTTCAGCTTGTGCATATGATGTCATGCGTCTTTGCTGCTTGCTATTTCGTAGCTGCTCCACACACTGCTGATGGACGTGTGCGTGAATGTGTGTAGGTGGGGAGTCTGTGACATTTAGTATATTCAGTTGAGTGACAAATTACTGACAACTACGATTGAGCAAAAGCACATACGAATGTACACCTAAACATAACCATAGCAACCAAAAGATCAGCACTGACCTCTTTTTCCAATAAAAGCTAAAAAGTTTCAGAGAAAAAAAACACATTTTTTTTTCCCTCGCAAAGTGGAGCCAAATATCCCCGCAACCTCAAAATGTTCATGTTAGCTCATGATATGAATACATCTGCACACACACACACACACACAGTCATCTGGTGCTAAGCCTTTCTGATCGTTTCTTGAATGAGTGTTATATAAGACCTCTGACGCTACTAGTGGTGGAACACACTGTGATAACGCACATTTTGAGAAATGTTAACACATATATGGCCACTACAGCTGTGGTTTATTCACTTGCCTTAAGGTCACAATGATAAACATCTTCTTAGACACTGCTGGAGTTGATGACATCAGTTTGAACCTTCAGTGTATGTGTGTGTGTGTGTGTGTGTGTGTGTGTGTGTGTGAGTGTGTGTATGAAGGAGACTCACCTGTCGTTCGTAACTGCAGACAGAGATGCATCAGTTAGCCAGGAGAGACGAAAATATATCCATCCATGTGACCTTTTCACACATTTACTAAGCCCTTATATCTCTCTCTCACTTGCTCACCCTCTTTCTGTTTCTCTACCTCTCTCTCTCTTCCTCTCCTACTGTCTCTCTCTCTCACTCTCTCTCGCTCTCTGTTGCTCAGCCCCTCCCTTTCTACTTCTGTCCGTTCCTTCATCTCTCTCTCTCTCTCTTTCTCTTTCTTTCTATCTCTCTGAATACAGTGCTGTGAAAAAGTAGTTACCTCCTCCATATTTTTGGTGTATTTGTCACACTTAATTGTTTTAGATCTTCAAATAAATTTTAATATAAGACAAAGACAACCTGAAAAAAACACATTCGTCTTTAAATGATGATTTCATTTGTTGAAGGCCAACAGCTGGACCTGTGTGGAAAAAAAATAAAATAAATAAATAAATAATTGAGCCTTTAGTTACTCAGTTAACCCACTAACTAAATTTAGATAAGTAAACTAGACAGACCCAAGCCAACATCACCAGTTAAGCATCCCACATTGATGGGAAGGTTCAATTAAAGTGATGTTTAGATTCATATATCAGTCTGGAAAAGGTCACAAAGCCATTTCTAAGACTCTGGGACACCAGCGAACCACCGTGAGAAACATTATCTCCAAAAGGAGAAAACTTGGGAAAATGGAGAATCTTCCCAGAAGTGGCTGGTGTACATAAAATTCCTCCAAGAGGACAGCGACAGTTTATCCAGGAAGTGACAACAGAATCCAGATGAACAACTAAGGAACTGCAGGCCTCGTTCACCTCAGATCAGCCTTCATGATTCCATTAGAAAATGGAATCAATGAGAGAGCTGCAAGGTGAAAACCACTGCTAACTCAGAGGAACACAAAGAAGAAGACTGGGTCCCATGAAATCTGGTGTAAAGCTAACACATCATTCCACAATAAGAACATCATACCAACAGACAAACATGGTGGTGGCAGTGCGACAGGTGACCTGCCATAATTGATGGAACAATGAATTCTGCTTTCTACCTGAAAATTCTGAGGAAGAATGTCTGGTCATCAGTCAGTGATCTGAAGCTCAAGGGAAATTGGGTTACACAGTAAGATTGTTATCCGAAGCACAAGAGCAAGTCCACCTCTGAATGGCCTTTAAAGAAACAAAAGTTTTTGGAGTGGGCTTGTCTAAGTATTGACTTGAGTGCCATTGAGGTGCTGTGGCAAGACCCTAAATGGAGGTCATGCTTGGATGCCTTCCAGTGTAACTAAATTAAAGTAATTCTGCAAAGAAGAGAGGGGCAGATTTCCTCCAAAGAGATGTGAAACACTGATCTCCAGTTATAGTAAGCATATGGTTGCAGTTGTTGATGCTAAAGCTGGCATGACCAGTTATAAAGGTTAAGGGGAGCAGTTACTTTTGGCAATTTCTTTATCATGGGTGATAAAGATGTAAAATGTTTTTCTTCAATAAATGAAATGATCATTTAAATACTGTGTTGTGTGTTTACCTGTGTTCTTCTCATTTTGTAGGAGGATCTGAAACCACTTAGTGTGACAAAAAAGGAAATTTCAGGGAAAATCAGGAAATCTGTTTTCCATTCCTAACCACTGACTGAAACCTAGTTAGAGTAAAGCTCATATTCACAGTCAGTGACGTGTCTAGGATTTCCAGAAGACAAAGAGTGATGATTTTTCTTGAAAAATTATTCATAATTGGAAAATGTGATTGGTTGATTCCTCTTTCAGGTCTATGTTGGTGGTTATTAACATCTAAGCCTTGCAGTTCTGCTCCTGATTGCATAATTATCCATGGGGCATTTTAAGATTTTAACCCTTTTGTGTCTGATCAAAACTCAACAATGAAATAAGAGTATTACTAAAATACAAGCAGAATTTAAAAATACAGCAAGTATGATTCTAATAAATAAAAATGAACGGCAAAATTACAGACATGGGCCTAGTAGGTGGAGCTCCTGTCAAAATGTCCAAATCCAGTCAAATGACATGTTTTGTTGATTTTTTAAATAATAATAATGTTCATTTGCCAACGTATTGTGTATTATATTATATAATCTATAATAAAATATTAATTTAAAAATTCTATCATAAAATGCGGCCTGTGCTGCAAGTTATGGCAAATTTTATTGAAATTGTGCACTGAAATTTGCAGAAAAATGCCCAGTTGATGTTTGTTCTGTGAAACTATTTCACTTAGAGAATAAACAACTTGTCATTTTCCTGATTATATTCAAATTTTGTATACGACTGTATGCAGGAATAAAAAATAAAACTCTGTGTGCTACGTTGCCACTATGTTGTCGTTGTGGTTAATGCTGTGTTGTAAGGGTTCACCCTCATTGTGTTGCTGCATGTGTGTGTGTGTGTGTGCGTGTGCGTGTGTGTTTGTGTGTGTATGTATATTTTCCTGTTAGCCGCTGGGACAAAAAGATTGATGAGGACCACATCCTGTTTCAGACAAACATTTATAACCCCCCCTCCCCACACACACTCTCAGAGGTTATGGGTATGAAGGATACATGCAAGCTTTTGATATTAATGATTTAATTTCTTTCATTTTTCCCTTTTTTATCTTCTTATCCATCTGCTCTGACCTCAGACAGCGTAGAGAGGTTCAAGCTTATTTCACCCGAGAAAGAGGAACGTTCTGTCATTCTTGCTAACATATGCACATATACCCCCGCTTGTGCAGGGCAGCGGGTCACTTGTCAGTGCTGACATCTACACACACCTGCTCTTTGTTTCTGGAGAGCGAGTGTAGCAGTGAGTGTAGTGTGTGTGTGTATAAAGGGCAGAGACACATGTAGCACTTAAAGGTGAGGAACATTTCGCAACAAGCACTCTAACACAAAAATCAGTCTTTTGATGCCACAACTGCTGCTTTCAGCGCAGCGCTGGGTTTTTTCTAGTGTGTGTGGCTGTGTTCCTGTAAAGGTCAGTCATCGCAGCGACGGAAACGAGAATGCGGCTTTTGTACTGACACAAAACAAGTCAGCAGCCACAAACTGAGGTGTGTGGGGGGCTTTGGCAAGTGTGTGTGTGTGTGTGTGTGAAAACAGAGATGAGCAATCTTAACAGATCTAATTAAGACTGCAGAAATCTAAAGGTGACCTGAAAGAGATCAACACTGACCGAAACTATGACTCAGTTCATGGAGTTTGTAGCACATTATCACTTTATGAAACATTAATAAGCCTTCTATTATAATGTTTACTGTGTCTTAGTTAAGAGAGATATATTAATTACTATGCTGCTGTGAGCTCCTGATTATCCTTAACGCAGATTATGTGTTAATTCAATCAAAACACTGAATGATTCTGATTTCATCCTAACATTTGAATTATACATCAATTTTGAAAAATCTGTGAATTTTCCCTAAATACAAGTAGTGTTTTTACATATGTGTTCATCTAAACCTCTCCCCATTGCAGCCCAGTATTGATTGTAATTATCTTTCAGTACCTACTTTATCTGATTAATCCATCATTAAATTGAAACAGGTTTGCTGTTGATGGAATCTGGCTGGGGGCATCCAGGAAACATCTGCAACTAAGCTTTAGTCTTCAAATGAAGTAAGACTTTTGTACAGTGCAGTACAATCATTCTTTATGTTAAAGTACATCCTTAAAAAAGTTGTACTAGTTAACAACACATGTTGTAACACATATAACACATTTTTGACACATGTACTCTATGTTGTGATGTCAGTTCATGCCAGTGTTCTGTGTGTAAATAAATAAATAAATTAGACTGTTTCATTCATTTGTTATGCTTTGTCCTTATACAGGGACTCTGTATTATTGTGAAGGGTGGAACTAGAGTCAGAGCTGTGTTTTCCCCCTTTTTCTGTACGCTGTTAAGTGAGTACTTCAGTAAAGACGCGATGAACCTCAAGTTGACTGAGTTCTTTGGGGGAGTCTAAAATGTTACAATGGTGTTAGAAGTGGCTCAAGAACCAGAGATAAAAGGTCAAAGGTGCAAGGCTCCAGCAGAGCCTCAAGTAGGTCTTGCTGATAGAGGCATGGTATGATGGAGGGAAATGAGCCTGGTGGAGAATGAAAAGAAGCTGCGAAGAACTGGGCCCAGTGGCTCAGGGGAGGAGTACGCTCTCCTGAATTTGGCGAAAGAAAACAGCAAGCTGCCGCAGAACGTGGGCGAACGGAGGGGTATTTCCACGTGAAGAGTACACTCCTGTAAAGATTTGTGACAAGATGGTCAATAGGCAGTAAGTCAATAGGAAAATTAGGCATTAAAATAATGTTTTCCATGGCATCTTTGACTGATGCCACTGCCTACCCCTGATGTAACATGGAGAACATGGCAGTTGAAGCCACCCCTACTGCTCCAATGCATCTGTCTGAGGTAAGGTGTTATGATGGTATGGTGAGGTCGCCGGCTTATCTGCAGCAATTTGAGATGGTTGTGGCAGCGGCAGGGTGGGGAGAGCAGCAAAAGTAGCACAGATAGCCCCAGTGCTAGAAGGGCCAGCCCGGCAGGTCCTGCCTACATTTCAGAAACTTGGCACAGCCTTATATCTAGCCTAGGGAGGTGGTTTGGTGAGCGTGTACTGCGCATGCACTTTACAGGGAAGCTCCATTGGAAAGAGTGCCAGCCACACTGGCATCACCAGAGAGCCATCGACGCCCCCAGCAGCTTTGGAATCCCCTCAACATTCCTTGGTGGCCCAAGAGGACCATGACACCATGACAGCCACAGCAGACAGCCCGGAGGGGGAGGCTGTGGGGATGCTAGATACACCCTCGGGCCAGGAGCCCTCAAAGAGGAGGCGATGTCCTAGACATTTCAATGACTTGGTCTGGTGGAACTGGTAAGCAGCAGTATCGCTGCCATTGGACAAAGGGGGAGACAATGTGGTGTTACTGCACAGTAGTGTACATTTATATAATGGCTGGCCAAAGGAAATATTTAATGAACAGTGATATACACTATGTAGTTAAAAGTATGTGGACACCTTACCGACACACCTATATAAACTTGCTGGACATCCTATTCCAAAACCATGGCGATTATTATGAAATTGTCCTCCGCCACCCCTTTTGTGGCTATAACAGCCTCCTGTGTTCTGAGAAGGCTTTCCACAAGATTTTGCAGTGTGTCTG